CACGATAGTATCTTCTCTACTACATGATAGTATCTTCTCTACTACACGATAGTATCTTCTCTACTACATGATAGTATCTTCCTACTACACGATAGTATCTTCCCTACTACACGATAGTATCTTCCTACTACATGATAGTATCTTCACTACTACACGATAGTATCTTCCTACTACATGATAGTATCTTCCTACTACATGATAGTATCTTCCTACTACACGATAGTATCTTCTCTACTACATGATAGTATCTTCCCTACTACATGATAGTATCTTCTCTACTACACGATAGTATCTTCCCTACTACACGATAGTATCTTCCTACTACATGATAGTATCTTCTCTACTACACGATAGTATCTTCCTACTACACGATAGTATCTTCCTACTACATGATAGTATCTTCTCTACTACACGATAGTATCTTCCTACTACACGATAGTATCTTCCTACTACATGATAGTATCTTCCTACTACACGATAGTATCTTCCTACTACATGATAGTATCTTCCTACTACACGATAGTATCTTCTCTACTACATGATAGTATCTTCTCTACTACATGATAGTATCTTCTCTACTACATGATAGTATCTTCTCTACTACATGATAGTATCTTCTCTACTACACGATAGTATCTTCCTACTACACGATAGTATCTTCTCTACTACACGATAGTATCTTCCTACTACTCGATAGTTCTTCTCTACTACACGATAGTATCTTCCTACTACACGATAGTATCTTTCCTACTACATGATAGTATCTTCTCTACTACACGATAGTATCTTCCTACTACACGATAGTATCTTCTCTACTACATGATAGTATCTTCCCTACTACATGATAGTATCTTCTCTACTACATGATAGTATCTTCTCTACTACATGATAGTATCTTCTCTACTACACGATAGTATCTTCCTACTACATGATAGTATCTTCTCTACTACATGATAGTATCTTCTCTACTACACGATAGTATCTTCTCTACTACATGATAGTATCTTCTCTACTACACGATAGTATCTTCCCTACTACACGATAGTATCTTCCTACTACATGATAGTATCTTCTCTACTACACGATAGTATCTTCTCTACTACATGATAGTATCTTCCCTACTACACGATAGTATCTTCCCTACTACATGATAGTATCTTCTCTACTACATGATAGTATCTTCTCTACTACATGATAGTATCTTCTCTACTACACGATAGTATCTTCCCTACTACACGATAGTATCTTCCCTACTACATGATAGTATCTTCTCTACTACACGATAGTATCTTCCCTACTACACGATAGTATCTTCCCTACTACATGATAGTATCTTCTCTACTACACGATAGTATCTTCAATACTACATGATAGTATCTTCCTACTACACGATAGTATCTTCTCTACTACATGATAGTATCTTCCTACTACACGATAGTATCTTCCCTACTACATGATAGTATCTTCCCTACTACATGATAGTATCTTCTCTACTACACGATAGTATCTTCCTACTACACGATAGTATCTTCTCTACTACATGATAGTATCTTCTCTACTACATGATAGTATCTTCCTACTACACGATAGTATCTTCTCTACTACATGTATAGTATCTTCCTACTACATGATAGTATTTCTCTTACTACATGATAGTATCTTCCTACTACACGATAGTATCTTCTCTACTACATGATAGTATCTTCTCTACTACATGATAGTATCTTCCTACTACACGATAGTATCTTCTCTACTACATGATAGTATCTTCTCTACTACACGATAGTATCTTCCCTACTACATGATAGTATCTTCTCTACTACACGATAGTATCTTCCTACTACATGATAGTATCTTCCTACTACACGATAGTATCTTCTCTACTACATGATAGTATCTTCCTACTACACGATAGTATCTTCTCTACTACACGATAGTATCTTCCTACTACACGATAGTATCTTCTCTACTACACGATAGTATCTTCCCTACTACACGATAGTATCTTCTCTACTACACGATAGTATCTTCTCTACTACATGATAGTATCTTCTCTACTACACGATAGTATCTTCTCTACTACATGATAGTATCTTCTCTACTACACGATAGTATCTTCTCTACTACATGATAGTATCTTCTCTACTACACGATAGTATCTTCTCTACTACATGATAGTATCTTCCTACTACACGATAGTATCTTCCTACTACACGATAGTATCTTCTCTACTACACGATAGTATCTTCTCTACTACATGATAGTATCTTCTCTACTACACGATAGTATCTTCTCTACTACATGATAGTATCTTCTCTACTACACGATAGTATCTTCTCTACTACACGATAGTATCTTCTCTACTACATGATAGTATCTTCCTACTACACGATAGTATCTTCTACTACACGATAGTATCTTCTCTACTACACGATAGTATCTTCTCTACTACATGATAGTATCTTCTTACTACACGATAGTATCTTCTCTACTACATGATAGTTATCTTCTCTACTACACGATAGTATCTTCCTACTACACGATAGTATTCTTCTTACTACATGATAGTATTTCCTACTACACGATAGTATCTTCCTACTACACGATAGTATCTTCTCTACTACACGATAGTATCTTCTCTACTACATGATAGTATCTTCTCTACTACACGATAGTATCTTCTCTACTACATGATAGTATCTTCTCTACTACACGATAGTATCTTCCCTACTACACGATAGTATCTTCTCTACTACACGATAGTATCTTCTCTACTACATGATAGTATCTTCTCTACTACACGATAGTATCTTCTCTACTACATGATAGTATCTTCTCTACTACATGATAGTATCTTCCTACTACACGATAGTATCTTCTCTACTACATGATAGTATCTTCTCTACTACATGATAGTATCTTCTCTACTACACGATAGTATCTTCTCTACTACATGATAGTATCTTCTCTACTACATGATAGTATCTTCTCTACTACACGATAGTATCTTCTCTACTACATGATAGTATCTTCTCTACTACATGATAGTATCTTCTCTACTACACGATAGTATCTTCTCTACTACATGTAGTTTCTTCTCTACTACATGATAGTATCTTCTCTACTACACGATAGTATCTTCTCTACTACATGATAGTATCTTCTCTACTACATGATAGTATCTTCTCTACTACACGATAGTATCTTCTCTACTACATGATAGTATCTTCCTACTACATGATAGTATCTTCCCTACTACACGATAGTATCTTCCTACTACATGATAGTATCTTCTCTACTACACGATAGTATCTTCCTACTACACGATAGTATCTTCCCTACTACACGATAGTATCTTCCCTACTACACGATAGTATCTTCCTACTACACGATAGTATCTTCCCTACTACACGATAGTATCTTCCTACTACACGATAGTATCTTCCTACTACACGATAGTATCTTCCCTACTACATGATAGTATCTTCTCTACTACACGATAGTATCTTCCTACTACACGATAGTATCTTCCTACTACACGATAGTATCTTCCTACTACACGATAGTATCTTCCTACTACACGATAGTATCTTCCTACTACACGATAGTATCTTCCTACTACACGATAGTATCTTCCCTACTACACGGTAGTATCTTCCTACTACACGATAGTATCTTCCCTACTACACGATAGTATCTTCCTACTACACGATAGTATCTTCCTACTACACGATAGTATCTTCCTACTACACGATAGTATCTTCCTACTACACGATAGTATCTTCCCTACTACACGATAGTATCTTCCTACTACACGATAGTATCTTCCCTACTACACGATAGTATCTTCCCTACTACATGATAGTATCTTCTCTACTACACGATAGTATCTTCCTACTACACGATAGTATCTTCCTACTACACGATAGTATCTTCTCTACTACACGATAGTATCTTCCTACTACATGATAGTATCTTCTCTACTACACGATAGTATCTTCTCTACTACATGATAGTATCTTCCTACTACACGATAGTATCTTCTCTACTACACGATAGTATCTTCCTACTACACGATAGTATCTTCTCTACTACACGATAGTATCTTCCTACTACACGATAGTATCTTCTCTACTACATGATAGTATCTTCTCTACTACATGATAGTATCTTCTCTACTACATGATAGTATCTTCTCTACTACACGATAGTATCTTCTCTACTACACGATAGTATCTTCCCTACTACACGATAGTATCTTCTCTACTACATGATAGTATCTTCTCTACTACATGATAGTATCTTCCCTACTACACGATAGTATCTTCCTACTACACGATAGTATCTTCTCTACTACATGATAGTATCTTTCTCTTACACCGATAGTATCTTCCTACTACACGATAGTATCTTCCCTACTACACGATAGTATCTTCCTACTACACGATAGTATCTTCTCTACTACATGATAGTATCTTCCTACTACATGATAGTATCTTCTCTACTACATGATAGTATCTTCCCTACTACACGATAGTATCTTCTCTACTACATGATAGTATCTTCCCTACTACACGATAGTATCTTCTCTACTACACGATAGTATCTTCTCTACTACACGATAGTATCTTCCCTACTACACGATAGTATCTTCTCTACTACATGATAGTATCTTCTCTACTACATGATAGTATCTTCCCTACTACACGATAGTATCTTCTCTACTACACGATAGTATCTTCCTACTACACGATAGTATCTTCCTACTACACGATAGTATCTTCTCTACTACACGATAGTATCTTCCTACTACACGATAGTATCTTCTCTACTACACGATAGTATCTTCCTACTACACGATAGTATCTTCTCTACTACACGATAGTATCTTTCCCACTACACGATAGTATCTTTTTAGGAAGGTCGTGTGATGCACTGATCTCAGTGTTCCATACATTGAATTTTGCCTCTTATCGCTGGTATGTATATATTTTTTTCAGTGTTCGCCTTACCATGTGGGATCTACTTCGCTGCTGCTGGGTGATGCTGCCCACGCTATGGTACCCTTCTATGGCCAGGGCATGAACTGCGTAAGTTGTAGTGGTGGTGGTTGTAGTGGTGGTGGTTGTAGTGGTTGTGGTTGTAATGGTGGTGGTTGTAGTGGTGATGGTTGTTGTGGTTGTAATAGTGGTGGTTGTAGTGGTGATGGTTGTAGTGGTGATGGTTGTAGTGGTGATGGTTGTTAGTGGTGATGGTTGTAGTAGTGGTGGTTATAATAGTGGTGGTTGTAGTGGTGATGGTTGTAGTGGTGATGGTTGTAGTGGTGATGGTTGTAGTGGTGATGGTTGTAGTAGTGGTGGTTATAATAGTGGTGGTTGTAGTGGTGATGGTTGTAATAGTGGTGGTTGTAGTGGTGATGGTTGTAGTGGTGATGGTTGTTAGTGGTGGTTGGTTGTAGTGGTGATGGTTGTAGTAGTGGTGGTTATAATAGTGGTGGTTGTAGTGGTGATGGTTGTATAGTGGTGGTTGTAGTGGTGATGGTTATAGTGGTGATGGTTGTAGTGGTGATGGTTGTAATATTGATGGTTGTAGTGGTGATGGTTGTAGTGGTGATGGTTGTAATATTGATGGTTGTAGTGGTGATGGTTGTTAGTAGTGGTGGTTATAATAGTGGTGGTTGTAGTGGTGATGGTTGTAATAGTGTGGTGGTTGTAGTGGTGATGGTTGTTAGTGGTGATGGTTGTAGTGGTGGTGGTTGTAATAATGGTGGTTGTAGTGGTGATGGTTGTAGTGGTGATGGTTGTAGTGGTGATGGTTGTAATATTGATGGTTGTAGTGATGATGGTTGTAGTGGTGGTGGTTGTAATAATTGGTGGTTGTAGTGATGATGGTTGTAGTGGTGGTGGTTGTAATACTGATGGTTGTAGTGGTGATGGTTGTAGTGGTGATGGTTGTAATAGTGGTGGTTGTAGTGGTGATGGTTGTAGTGGTGATGGTTGTAGTGGTGATGGTTGTAGTGGTGATGGTTATAGTGGTGGTGGTTGTAACAGTGGTGGTTGTAGTGGTGATGGTTGTAGTGGTGATGGTTGTAGTGGTGATGGTTGTAGTGGTGATGGTTATAGTGGTGGTGGTTGTAACAGTGGTGGTTGTAGTGGTGATGGTTGTAGTGGTGATGGTTGTAATAGTGGTGGTTGTAGTGGTGATGGTTGTAGTGGTGATGGTGTGTGTGGTGGTGGTTGTAACAGTGGTGGTTGTAGTGGTGATGGTTGTAGTGGTGATGGTTGTAGTGGTGGTGGTTTGTAACAGTGGTTGGTTGTAGTGGTGATGGTTGTGTGGTGATGGTTGTAATAGTGGTGGTTGTAGTGGTGATGGTTGTAGTGGTGATGGTTGTAGTGGTGGTGGTTGTAACAGTGGTGGTTGTAGTGGTGATGGTTGTAGTGGTGGTGGTTGTAACAGTGGTGGTTGTAGTGGTGATGGTTGTAGTGGTGGTGGTTGTAACAGTGGTGGTTGTAGTGGTGATGGTTGTAGTGGTGATGGTTGTAGTGGTGGTGGTTTGTAACAGTGGTGGTTGTAGTGGTGATGGTTGTAGTGGTGATGGTTGTAATAGTGGTGGTTGTAGTGGTGATGGTTGTAGTGGTGGTGGTTGTTAGTGGTGGTGGTTGTAACAGTGGTGGTTGTAGTGGTGATGGTTGTAATATTGATGGTTGTAGTGATGATGGTTGTAGTGGTGGTGGTTTGTAATAGTGGTGGTTGTAATAGTGGTGGTTGTAATAGTGGTGGTTGTAATAGTGGTGGTTGTAATACTGATGGTTGTAGTGGTGATAGTTGTGTGGTGATGGTTGTAGTGGGTGATGGTTGTAGTGGTGGTGGTTGTAATAGTGGTGGTTGTAATAGTGGTGGTTGTAATAGTGGTGGTTGTAATAGTGGTGGTGTAATAGTGGTGGTTGTAATAGTGGTGGTTGTAATAGTGGTGGTTGTAGTGGGATGGTTGTAGTGGTGATGGTTGTAGTGGTGGTGGTTGTAATAGTGATGGTTGTAGTGGTGATGGTTGTAGTGATGGTTGTAGTGGTGGTGGTTGTAATAGTGGTGGTTGTAATAGTGGTGGTTGTAATAGTGGTGGTTGTAGTGGTGATGGTTGTAGTGGTGATGGTTGTAGTGGTGGTGGTTGTAATAGTGATGGTTGTAGTGATGGTTGTAGTGGTGGTGGTTGTAATAGTGGTGGTTGTAATAGTGGTGGTTGTAATAGTGGTGGTTGTAGTGGTGAGGTTGTAGTGGTGATGGTTGTAGTGGTGGTGGTTGTAATAGTGATGGTTGTAGTGGTGATGGTTGTAGTGATGGTTGTAGTGGTGGTGGTTGTAATAGTGGTGGTTGTAATAGTGGTGGTTGTAATAGTGGTGGTTGTAGTGGTGATGGTTGTAGTGGTGGTGGTTATAATAGTGGTGGTTGTAGTGGTGATGGTTGTATTAGTGGTGGTTGTAGTGGTGATGGTTATAGTGGTGATGGTTGTAGTGGTGGTGGTTGTAGTGGTGATGGTTGTAGTGGTGATGGTTGTAGTGGTGATGGTTGTAATATTGATGGTTGTAGTGATGATGGTTGTAGTGGTGGTGGTTGTAATAATGGTGGTTGTAGTAATGATGGTTGTAGTGCTGGTGGTTGTAATACTGATGGTTGTAGTGGTGATGGTTGTAGTGGTGATGGTTGTAGTGGTGATGGTTATAGTGGTGATGGTTGTAGTGGTGGTGGTTGTAACAGTGGTGGTTGTAGTGGTGATGGTTGTAATAGTGGTGGTTGTAGTGGTGATGGTTGTAGTGGTGGTGGTTGTAGTGGTGGTGGTTGTAACAGTGGTGGTTGTAGTGGTGATGGTTGTAGTGGTGATGGTTGTAATATTGATGGTTGTAGTGATGATGGTTGTAGTGGTGGTGGTTGTAATAGTGGTGGTTGTAATAGTGGTGGTTGTAATAGTGGTGGTTGAAATAGTGGTGGTTGTAATACTGATGGTTGTAGTGGTGATGGTTGTAGTGGTGATGGTTGTAGTGGTGATGGTTGTATTGGTGGTGGTTGTAATAGTGGTGGTTGTAATAGTGGTGGTTGTAATAGTGGTGGTTGTAGTGGTGATGGTTGTAGTGGTGATGGTTGTTGTGGTGGTGGTTGTAATAGTGATGGTTGTAGTGATGGTTGTAGTGGTTGTGGTTGTAATAGTGGTGGTTGTAATATGTGGTGGTTGTAATAGTGGTGGTTGTAGTGGTGATGGTTGTAGTGGTGATGGTTGTAGTGGTGGTGGTTGTAATAGTGATGGTTGTAGTGGTGATGGTTGTAGTGATGGTTGTAGTGGGTGGTGGTTGTAATAGTGATGGTTGTAATAGTGGTGGTTGTAATAGTGGTGGTTGTAGTGGTGATGGTTGTAGTGGTGATGGTTGTAGTGGTGGTGGTTGTAGTGGTTGGTGGTTGTAATAGCGGTGGTTGTAATAGTGGTGGTTGTAATAGTGGTGGTTGTAATAGTGGTGGTTGTAATAGTGGTGGTTGTAGTGATGATGGTTGTAATAAAGTTGGTAGAATTACCGACAATATGTAAAGTAAAAGGACACAAGTGCAACTAATGTGACATTTATTGTGGCAACGTTTCGCTCTCCAGGAGCTTTATCAAGCCATTACAAACAATACATGGACACAGAGGGTATATAAAGGCACAGAGTGAGGTGAATACTAGTGAGGTACCATTTCGATGTTCACTACTGGTAGTAGTAGTAGTAGTGGTAGTGACAAAAGTAATACAATATGGTTGAGCAATTATTCGTACATGAGTAAAGGATATAAAAGCTATTACTTGGGTAACATAAAAATAGGTTGGACAAATATAAACTGGAATGAGGCAGCTTGTTTCAGTGTTCACTCTCTGTGCTTTGTGTAGTATAACAGGAGAGACTATGTGATGGCAGGGTTTATGTTTTCAGGAGGATTCTTGCTAAGACTTCGGAGATGGTGAAGCTGCCGTTTGTTTTGTTTAATTGTATTCGAAACAGCGATCAGTGCTGATTCGAGGCACTTGCGTCTGCGGAATTTAGTTCTTTGATCACTAATTGGGCGTCTCTGAATTTCATGAGATGATTGGTGGAATTTCGGTGTTGTACACAGGCGTTGTTCAGGTTATCGTTCCTACATGCGTAAATGTGTTCATTGAGGCGGGTTGTCGAGGTTTCTGGCTGTTTCACCTACGTAAATCTTGTCACAGCCTCCACAGGGTATAGTGTAAACTCCTGCATTGACTGGTTCGTGGTGCTTGGATTTTGTCCTGGTTATATCCTTTATTGAAGTGCTAGAAGCGATGGCGACTCTGGTGTTAGCTTGTGAAAGTGCTTTTGAGACGTTCAGTGCAACCTGACTGTTGGGAGAATTATAACTTTGCTTGGAAGTGGTGTTGATGCGTGGAGAATTTATGATCTGAAGAGCTCTTTTCTTGCAGTCTTTGATGAAAAAAAAGGAAAATGTAACTCTGTGAATGTTTGGTGAATGTATGTACACTCCTCGTCAAGAAACTCAGGACTACAAATTCGGTATGCTCTTAGGAAAACCCGATGATGATGCCTCTTTGGTCTTGGTATCTTGACTGGGGTACCAAGATACCAAGACCAAAAGAGGCATCATCATCGGGTTTTTCCTAAGAGCATACCGAATTTGTAGTCCTGAGTTTCTTGACGAGGAATGTACATACATTCACCATACTGCCCTTGATACTGGCCATGTAGTCACAAACTGTAAGGCTGGAGGTGATGTCCTGGTAGTCAGTAAATGTAGGGCTGATAGTGCTGTCCTGGGAGACAGTAATGGTGAAGGGGAGGTGCTGCCCGGGGAAGACAGAATGGGAAGTGGAGGTCTGCCCCGGGAGCAGTAAGGTAAGCTGGGGGATAGTCCTGGAGACAGTAAGGGGGAAGCTGGGGAGGTGCGTCGGGAACAAAAAATGGTAAAGCTGGGGAATACTTCCTGGAACAGGGTGAAGGGAGATTTTGTCCGGGTGTCGGGAATTATACGCAGGAAGGAATACAATAAATGACCTCTTAACAGGACCCTTTTGGGGGGGTAGGGAAACAAGTGA